AGAGGGCATTCCTAGCTAACGAACGAGCGGCTGGTGAGTTGTCTCCGAGCACCTGGAGAGTCAGAACAGGCTTTTTCGCGCGACGTGTTTCTGTGAGTGGTGCAAGCCGAAAATGCAGCGTTCGTTAGAGCAGAGGTACGCGATTAAATTCTGTGTGAAACTCGGTAAATCTGCGACAGAGACGTTTGATATGATCAAGCAGGCTTACCCAGATGTTGCTTTAGCAAGAAGTGGTGTGTTTCGGTGGCACCAGGCCTTTTCAGAGGGCCGGCAAGAGGTCGTCGATGAAGACCGTGCTGGAAAACCTTCGACTTCGACAAACACCGACAATGTGACTCGTGTGCGCGAAGTTTTGAAATCAGACCGTCGACTAAGAATTCGTTTAATTGCCCAGATATTAAATTTACCAAAATCTGTGGTTCATGACATTGTGACGAAACATTTGAACATGCGCAAGGTGTGCGCGAAGATGGTCCCAAAAGTGCTCACGGACGACCAGAAATTGCGGCGAGTGGAAGTATGCCAAAAAAATTTCAACATGTGTGAAAGTACCCCCCAATTTTTGAATATGAATTTGAATGAATTTGAGTATGAACCCGAGACAAAGAGGCAATCTTCCGAGTGGCACACGCCGGCGTTTCATCGTCTAAAAAAGGGAAGAATGAGCAAATCCAAAGTGAAAACGATGCTCATTGTCTTTTTTGAAAGGCATCGTTCACCATGAATTTGTTCATCCTGGACAAACCGTCAACGAAAAGTTTTACGTGGAAGTGCTCAAGAGACTCAAACGAAGGGTCAATCGGGTCCGACAAGACATCGCAGCCGACTAGAAGTTGCACCACGACAACACCCCGGCTCACACCGCCTTTCTTGTGGACAGTTAGCTGACCAAGGCCGGCATCCCAACGCTTCCGCAGCCGCCCTACAGCCCAGATGTGCCCCCCCCGCCCGGACTTTTCTTTGTTTGCTCGCCTGAAAAGGCCGATGAAAGGCAAGCATTTTGAGACGACAGAGGGGATCCAAGCAGCATGCACCGCAGCTGCTAAGGCTATTCCGGAAAATGCCTTCCGTGACGCCTTCAATGCTTGGAAATCGTGCTGGCAGCGCTGCATCGACGCAGAAGAAGCCTATTTTGAAAGTTTTTAAAGAATTGTAACGATTGACTCAATAATTTTTTTTAAATCGACTCAGTCCTGTTACTTTCCGGACAAACCCTGTAAGTGTTTGTGAATATAAATGAGTGCGGATATAGTGTTACTGTGGAAAATAAATTACTTTTATATAACATACGCTAAAATAAATAAAATTATACTAGAAAATTCCTTACACTGAACCTTAATATGGAATATGTTTTTCTTTATACCTTTCACTACTTGATCCAAGTAAGGAATTTTGTGAACTGTTCCATAGTCTAACTCTCCATCTTCCTTTAGGGCGTTTCTCAATTCGTCTTTTAATTTTCTTTGTATTTCTTGATTTAGAGCAAGTTCATACAAACCAAACGACAAAGTGGTCGAAACTGTTTCATAACCAGCGACGAAAAACTGAGCTGCGATACCAAGAACCGTAGTTCCGTCTGTAAAAAATGCGAAATAATAAATGTTAAAAAGGAAATGATAAATAACCACTCTATACACCAAGGGTCGGCAACTGACGGATTGCGGTTCGGGTCCGGACCGCGAAAAGTCAAAAACTGGACCGCCAAAAATTATTTAATACTGAAATGAGTTATTTAAAAAATATTTTTCAATAGATACTAAAGGGTGTTTCAGCATTGAGCGCCACCCTTATTATATTTTTCT